ATACTAAGTGAAGAAAAGAAGGAGGAAAAGCAAGACATATATCTGATAGCAACACTAGAATATATGAGGTACCTAAGATTGTAAATACCTTAAGGAAGACCAATATATTTTGTAGAGTTTTCTTTAATGGAAGATTATCTCACTTCATACAAATGGTTTGTTAGCCAACCCTCACTTCTAATGAACAGTGTCTATAAAACCTCAAAACTAATAGAAATTTTATTGGCATAAACCCTTCAATGTGCACAGCACACAATGTTCTCAGCCTCTAATAAGAGACATGGGGTCCTTATTATGCATCCATTGTTTAGTTTAATATAAAAGTCTATTTAAAAATTCTATTGAAAAGATTCTTGAAGATAGCATGTCATGATTAGATTACGATTTTCAAGATTAACATTTGAGAAACTCAAATGATGGAAAAATTCAAAGTTGTAACAAATTAATTTCCACTTCATAATGATATATTCATCTTTTTTTGGCTTAACATAAAACCAAATCCTAGAATGAGACTTCCAACCACAAGGGCTCCTGAAATACTTAAATCTCTTAAACAGTGGGAATTTTTCTTCAGTGCTATTGTTCTCAGCATTGCAGCTGTGCACATCAAATAGAAATAGATCACTCAGAGTATCAGAATTGGCACAGCATTTGTTAAGGCAAAAACGTTCAATGTTTATGTATTAAAATAATAGGTTTTTTCCATAGAATAGGCAAGAGCTCAAAATTCATGTGTCACTTAACAAGAAGTAAAAATATCTAAGAGAAGACCTTATATACATGTCAAATTTAATCTTTCAGGTTTATCCATGATGGTTGACATGAGCAACAAACAAGTTTTACTACATTGCACACTGTGTGGTGAAAAGCCACAGTGTAACTAAAGAACATTAAAACTGTAAGATAAATGTGTGTGTGTGGTGTTTTTTGTTTGAACCAGTTAAATTTAAGAAGCCATTTTTCTGTTTTCTGACCATAATTCTAGATTTTCACCATAAAATGGGTACATAGAAGGATATTTTCAGCTTGAGAAAAAAATATTTTCAACAACTTAATAGTAGTTTCAACAAGTTCAAGAAGGAAAAGGGTGAACCAGTAGACTAAAAACAAGCTCCTAAATATCTGTTGTTATGGGCTGATAACAGCAGGTATTTCAGAGTTTCTTATCTCCTCAAAATTTATGTATTAAATCTCTTAACTCCCAGTATTGTGGAATGTAACTATATTTTGAGAGGTTATTTAAATAGAGAATTAAGTTACAATGAGATTATTAGGGTGGTCCCTAATCCAATATGACTGTTGTCCTTATAAGAGGAGGAAATTCTAACATAAATAGGTACAGAGGAAAGAGGACACAGTGAGCTGTCTGTAAGCCAGTAAGAGACCTCAAATTAGTAATTTCTCAGAGTTTTTATAGGCACAGGCTTGGGGTGTGGCAAGCCAGGGTGGTCGTGGGAAATGCAATACTTGAACACAAAAACAAAAATGCATGTCCTCACGTAGGTCCGCTGGCACAGGCCCAGAGGTGGAGCTCTAGCCAGGGACCCACCCTCCTCTGATCAGCACTTCCCTGTCCTGCTCCTGTATCAATAGTACAAGACCATTCCCCATCCATAATTGAGGTGGTAATTAGTCAGTGAATCTTTTGATGTAAAAATATTAGATTACCTATGTCTAGACTAAGATTTATTGATAACTTTTATTCCTTTTTGTATAATATTAAGATTAAATCAAAGTACATGACTCTCATAAGCCCTATGCTCCATGTCTTTACTCACACCCATCAAATGCCTAAATTCTAGGCCCCTCCAAATACCTCTCTCTCCTCCAGGTGAGTAATCAGAAATGTGTGTTCATCTGGATCTCATAAATTGTGGTGGCCCTTCCTTTATGTGTGACGTAACCTCAGACTATTAGAATGACATCCAGTAGCTCTAAATGACAGAGTGCAAGGTCCCAAATAAGGACCTGTTTAGCTCTGTAGCCTGTGACCACCGGAATGCTGTTTCACCACAGGTCCAGTTTCTGTCTCTTGTCTAAGGACTGTTTGAGCTAAGTAACATGATCAAACTATTTCTCAAAAGATTATCCACTCCCAGGAAGCTCAGCCACAATGTTATATTTATTCCAAAACTATTGATTATTTGTCTTCCCATGGAGCATAGCAGAACTACAAATATTTCAAGCAGTCTCCACTTAAATTTCAAGAACATTTTTACTATAGTAAAAATAGATTTTTCACTATCCAAGTAGCTGGGATTACAGGCGCTGGCCACCATGTTCAGCTAATTTTCGTACTTTTAGTAGAAATGGGTTTTCACCATGTTGGCCAAGCTCAGGTGATCCACCTGTCTCGGCCTCCCAAAGTGCTGGGATTACAGGCATGAGCCACCACGCCCTGCCGGAAAAAAGTTTTAAGCAAAATATTGAAGCAGCTATGTGGCTTCTTTTAATCGCACATAGTAAGATGCAAGAAGAGAAGAATGGTTTAAGTACGGGATTTATAATTAACAGGAAAGCAGAATGTAAAGATTGGGGAATTTCTCAGCCTGCCATATAAAGAACAAAAAGCATGCAAGAGTGAAGTCAAGTGACTCTTTGATGAAAAGATTAGTATGGATAGAAGGATACCAGGTGCTATTTATTTAAAAATGGGACAATACTCCTGAAGGCATTTTGAGTATCTTTGAGGCCTCCCCTCCTGGAGATCTAGGAGGGCAGAATGGTTTCAGCATGGGCTTGCTGTCTGCAACCACCTAGGGACTCTCCTCTCCTTCTAATATATTGCTCCTCAGCCACCCCAACTGTGACTCAAGTGGTCCTGGATGCAGCTCAGGCCACAACTCTGGAGGGCACAAGACTTGGCAGCATCCACATGGTACTAATTCTGCAGGCATGCAGAGTACATGAACTGTGGAGGCATGGCTGTCTCCACCTAGATTGCAGACACCCTGAGGGCCCACGCAGAGACTTGTTGCAGATGTGGAGCCATTATAGAGAATCCCCATTAGAACAATGACTAGAGGAGTCATGGGGGCAGAACTGTCTATGAGACTAAGAACTATAGAGCTACCAGTGTACCACTCCAGCCTGGGAGAGCTGCTGCATGGACTGAGCCCAGCAAAGCCATGAAGGAAGAGCTGCCTGAGGCCTTGGAGTCCCAACCCTACCATGGTGTGTCTAAGAGATGGGACATGGAGTCAAGGAAGATTACTCTGGAGCTTTAAGGTTCACTGTTGTTTACCCTGTTAGTTTTTAGACTTGCTTGGGACCAGTTACCTCTTTCCTTCTGCCAGTTTCTCCCTTTAGGGATCATAATGTCTACCATATGCCTGTACCACCACTGTATTTTGGAAGTAGATAAGCTGTTTGATTTCACAGGCTATGGCTGGGGGAGAATTTGCCTCAGAATTAATCATGTCTTGAATCCCATCCATATCTAGATGAGACTGCACAGTTTGGCCTTATGAGTTGGTACTGGAAGAAGTTAAGAATTTTGAGGTTATTGGGATGGAGTGGATGTATTTCACATGTTAGAAGAACAAACATTTAGGAGAACAGTAGTGGAATGCTATAGCTTGAATGTGTCTCCCCAAGCTCATGAATTGAGAACTTGATCTCTAATGCAGTAGTCTTGGGAGATGGGGCCTAATGAGAGGTGTTTGGGTCATGGGAGCACTGCCTTCATGAATAGATTAAAACTATCATCATAATACTGGATTCCTTATAAAAGGATGGATTCAGCCCTGCCTTGTTCTCTCTCTTTTGCTCTTTTGCTTTTCACCATGGGATGAAGCAGCAAGAAGGCCCTCAAAAGATGCTGTCCCCTCCATCTTGGCCTTCTCACCCTCCAGAACTGTAGCCCATACACTTCTGCTCATTATAAACTACCTAGTCTCAGGTGTTCTGTTACAGTTGCACAAAATGAACCAAGAGGGAAAGAAAGAATGAGGAATGGTTCAATCATTCAGTTTTTCTGTAACAATGCATGGGGTTCAGGACATACCACCCCAAAATATGACCGTAGGCAACCAAAATATGCCTCTTTTGCATAAAGACCATTTAGAACTGGTTACTTTGAGATACTGCAGACACAGGAGAAGCTCTGAAAGACCTGATGGTATCATCATAGGTCCTGAATGAATCGCTACCCTTTTTTATTTGGCTTTTCAGGTGAGAAGATTGGTGTATTGAAAGGGCTAATGCAGGGTATTATGAGTCCTTTGTCTAAATAGTCTTGAGTGATTGGTTTGACTCCTAATAAAGCTTTATATCTAAGAGAATATTGCTTAATGTTTGGCAGAGGTTTACATGTATCTATGGTTATTTCTAGAGGAATTGATGACATAATTCTTTTGATATCTGTAGAAGAACTTGCCCATGAAGAATCTGGATAAGAAAGCCTCTAATTATCACTTTCTAATCCTTGATTAACTTTAGCAAGTATAATATCACATGTGGGCTTTTGTAAGTCTTCTGTGTCTCACTAATTGAGAATCATTTCTCCCTTCTCCGAAAATGGGATGTGGATATTACAGGTCTCCAGAAAATCCCATCCTAGCAGATGTATGGGGGCACTCTCTACTGTAAGAAAAACCATGCCCTACTAGTTTTTCCAATTAAAATTTAATAGTGTTTGATTTAAAAGTTATAATTGGGGTCTTTGAAACTCCTACCATTTGAACTTTCTTTACTCCAAAGAAAAGGGCTTTTCATTTAGGTAGGGTTAAGGACTGACAATGTGGCACTGTAATAACTTAGCTTGTGCTAGAAGGTGCCCGACTTCCTGTTGCTGGCCCCTGCCCTTTGCCCCTTTGCCTGTCCTCAGGCTGCTGGAACAAAGGAAGGACAGCTTACTCCTCATGGGTGATCACTCTGCACCCATAGGGTTGAGCCTGGGGAAGCTGGAGGGAGGGCTGGGGCCTCCTTGTCCTGGGTTCCCAGCCCTCCCTACGCCCCCTCCCTCAGCACCACCAATGCCACCTCCCACATGGGGCTACTGTTTTCTGCAGCCGCTGTGCCGCCTCCCCCAAATTGTCATGGAAAGGGTAGAGAATGGAGGGGAACCAGGCATCCTTGGTGGCAGCTCGGGAGGGCAACAGTGTAGTGTCACCCACAAGGGAGGCTAGGGCAACAGATCCGGCCGCCAGCAGCAGCAGCGTAGCAGCTGCATGAATATGCAGCATGGAACCCAGGCCAGGCCAGGCTCCGGGGCTGGGGTATCTGCTTGCAGTTTTCTACTCACCTCCCCGAGCTTCCATCGAGGAGCAAGGTTTGCCAGCGAGTCACAAGGAGTTGAACCGAGCAGCCAGTCTTTCCAGCCCTCCCCCACCAACTTTTGCCTGGAGATGCAGCAGCCTGTGTCCTCCAGGGCCTCTAGTTTGTTGTATTATAGTACATTTTGCTGTGGAAAATGTCACCTTTAGTCACCTTGGAGCCCACTCACCTGGCCCTGTTGTTTTACCCCATCCCTTCTCTCGCGCACCTATTGATTTGTTTCTGAGGAGAGTGCACCGTTCACTATTGCAGAGTAACCCCTGAGACTCAATATTACCATAGTGCGATGTCGTTTTGTGTTATTTTGAACAATTAAAAGACTTGTTTTGAAGAAAAAAAGAAAAAACGCACAGCTGCCGTGGCCCTGACTACAACACCTGCTGTCACTGCCACAGCAGTGGCTTCTGCTGAGACAAGGATGAGCCGGGGCGCTGAAGACCATCCTCCAGGAAGCTCATGTGTTTTGAGGACTTGCTTCTACGGTTTCTTTGTCTGTGGAATCGGGGAACAGTGAGAAGGGTTAGCCACAGAATCCCAAGAAGCAAAGTACACCGAAAAACGTTGTGGAACCAAAGCAGAGGGGCAAACTCCTAGCCACCCGGACGGCAGGTGAATTGTCTAAAAACCTATCTTCACCGGGTTCTCACCTGCCAGCTGTGAATAAGGGCAGGATGGTAGCTAGCCCCAGCCCTGATGGCAGCGTGCTGTTCACAGATGGAGGAGTTCAGAAATTTTTGTCCAGAAAGCCTTTGGTAGAGTTTCCACAGAAAGTTCCATCTCCATTCAGAAAGCAGCGCTCTGGTTCAGAAGCTTGTTGGGTAGGACGGAAAGTGATGTCTCTTCCTCTTCATCCTCATCCAGCTCCTCTGACCACGAGGCTGATGTTTCAGAGGTCGCTCCTCAAGTGGTGTGCAAAGGCAGATGGGGGCTTTGAAAACCAGAGGCCTCTCATTCCTTTGAAAACAGAGCCCCCCAAATTACAGTACCAGAAAAAGAGAAAACCTAGCTGCAGAAGCCACATGTGAACACCACCTATCCAGAGAAGCCCTACCAGCCAAAGAAGAAAGGGCTCCCAGCGAAGCCATCAGAAGGCAGGGAGGATGCAAGAGCAAAAACCACAATGCCCAGATCTCTGGTAGATGAAGGGTTTTTGAAGCAAAGTTTAAAACAAAAACAATTGCAGAAAACATTTAGATTAAATGAAATAGATAAAGCCAAAAGCCCTTCAAAGTTAAAGGACCCTTACCTGTCCACACAAAATCAGGGTTGTCTGTGCCACTGAAGGGCAGCCCAGCACCTGCTGTGCTGGCAGAAGAGGCCAGAGCAGAGGGGCAGCTGCAAGCCATTCCTTCTGGGGCTGCAGAGGGGCATCTGGAAACACTGGTGCCAGAGCCCCAGTGCAAGGCGGTCCCTCCCCTGCCCAGAGGGGGATGCAGGGAAGAGAACAGCACCTGAAGGCTAGAGAGGCAATCATGAAAGATCAGATTCCACCAAGCGATTTGGAGACAGTTCCTGTTGAGAAGAACCATGGTTACCATGAAAAGCCAGCAGCACTGAAGTATGAGGCCATGGGCAAGGCCGTGGAAGACATGGCCACGCCAGGGGACAGACGATCAAGACTGCACACAGGAGCTGGCCCCAGCGCCTACTGAGCCGTTCGACAACACTACCTACAAGAACCTCCAGCATCATGACTACACCACGTACACCTCCTTAGGCCTAAACCTCGACCTCTCAAAATTCAGGGTGCCTCAGCCCTTCTCAGGCTGGGAGTCACCTCAACACTGAGGCCCTTGGTGTGAAGATGAACTTTGCTCTGTCTTCGCTGTATCCTGGACTGCAAAAATAAAATCCACTCAAGTCACACACACACACACACACACACACACACACAACCCCTATGACGGCGCCTCCTCTATAGACCACCTCTTAACCTGGGAGAGCCTGGACCGAGTCTGGTTCGTGCCCAGTGGCGTAAATCTCACTGGGGCCGCCAAATGTTGTAACCAGCAAGTTAGAAGGAAAGCACCACTCTCTGAGTTCCAAATTAAGAGTCCCTTATTTGTCCATGGCCCAGAGACAGCCAGCACTCAAAATCTCTCGCCCCAAGGAAGGGGCTTCATTCCCCTTATAACACTTTCAGCTTTTAGGGTGAGAAATGCAAGCTGTGGAACGAGTGGAGGACTGAGTTGATCCTCCGCGATAAGTGGCTAGGGTTACACAGGACCAGTGTGGGCGGAAGTATTCATTAATTTGCTGGCAGCTAGTATCAGTATTATCTCTGGGGCATAAGTAAAAGTCCTTAGACTGGAGGATTTTTTTCAGTCACATCTGACTCTTCACATCTGAGTTGGCCTGCAGTGTGTCCAAACCCACTGGCAAGGTCCACGCTGGCATACTAAATGTCGTCCAAATCTCAGTTAGGGGAATAGGTTGCTGGGAACAGAGCATATAGATCAAACTCAAGAGAGACTTTATTGGAGGAACCTGCCTTCCAGGAGGTATTGGCAACTACATGTCCCATTTTGAAAGAAATGAGGAGGAAAGAGTAGATAGGGGCGGAGAGCATGGTGGGAGAAAACAGACAAGAAAAATAGATAAGGAGAATTATTCCCAGGACTTCACCCAACTCAGTAGCAACTTTAAGGGGTCTGGCTTGGGTATGGGGACCCATGTTTCTTGTTGGGTCTTGTTGCAGGAGTGGTAGATCCAAGCAGGAATGCCGTCAGCCTTCAGGACTGTCAGGGTGGTGAGGATGATGGTGTGAGGTCCTATCTAAGCAGGGTTGAGTCCTTTCCATATAATCAATTACCAAGGAGGGTATTCACAATAGCAGGCAGACTTGCCAAGCAGGCTGCAGTTACAGTGGTTACAGGTGCTGTGAACAGTGTGAACTACTCTTAACAGATGCGGTTACAGTGGTTACAGGTACTGTGAACAGTGTGAGCCACTCTTAACAGATGTGGTTACAGTGGTTACAGGTGCTGTGAACAGTGTGAACCACTCTTAATGGGTCAAAGCTTTGAGTGCAGCGTGACCCGGTAATGCATCTGAGGGGGCAGAGGCAGGGATGGAGAAGCTAAGATGGAGCATGTCGGGCTCACAGCTAAGGTAGAGTCAGTTAGGGTAGCACAAGCTAGACTATTAATTACAAAACCAGTGTCCACAAGGCCTCTGGCACTTTCCCCTTTGATGGATATTTCAGCTTCACTTAAAGTATTTGTTAGAAGCAGGGGGGAAACTCTCTGTATTCCCTTGGAGCATCCCTCAACTCCCTTGAGTTATATTGGTGCCTTCCTCTGGGGCCTTCTGCCTCCTTTGCACAAACACCCATTTAAATTTTTTGCATTCCTTTTTAAGAAGCCCTTTCTTTTTGCAGTAGTACAAAATTTTTTCCTCTTTGGCGCTGGGACTTCTGAGGGAGACAAAACTCTTGTGATGTTTCAATTTGGTTACTAAGTTGTCTTAGTTGTAAACTCAGTCTTAGAAGCTGTCTCCTTTTCCTTCTCAATGATAATTTATGACAACTGGTCAGCAAGCTTGACAAGGTGGTTAATGACAAAGAAGCCCAAGCCAGTTTTCTTTATCAAGGTCATTAACTCATCATCTAAGCTTTATACAAATCCAGAATTTAGCAAGGTGTCACTTCTACCATGCTTAAACTTTTTGGGAGGTATACCTGAATGTTGTTTGGATGTTTCTTCAAACCTGATGTTATAGTCAGATTTATTTTCATTTGGGTGTATTTTACATTATTGTACCTTTGTCCAATCTGTAACTTTAGGAAATATCTGTGGTAAATTCTCACAGAGGCAGATGCAAAGCACCCTATACTTCTCTCTCTCCATTTTTATCTATGTTGTCAAAATTTTCTAAAGGCTATTTCCAACTCACTTCCCTTTGCTACTTTTTGGCTTTGTTTTGGGGACAAGTCACTCATTTAGCTGATAAAGATCAGAAAATTCTGGATTATAGGTCTTATGCATTAATTGAGATCCTTTGGTAAACTTCACAGGATCTTAGTTTGGGTTTGGTAATCCAGATACCTGTGATCTTAACTGTAAATTGGTCCCTTGTGTATACAATATGTTAGTGTTACAACCTAATGGGATCTTCTTGCCCACTGCTCCAAAAACACCAGTACATGGAGAACAGCAGGTGTTGTAGCAGATAAAGAGTTTAGGGCCAGCCAAGCAAGAAGATAGGAGATATTTCTCAAATCCTCCTTCAGGGAACTGAAATAATTGATTGTCTGGGGATAAAGTCAAGGGGTATCAGAAATGCAGGTGAATGAGTTCCAGAAGGAAGTTTTCATTATCCACTGAGTCAGTTCCTTGGTATGGGTCACATGTCTAGGTGGCATCTCTTGGTCTGCCAAAATGCTAAGTCAGAAAAACATCTCAAAGACCAGTTCTTTTTTTTTTTTTTTGAGATGGAGTTTCGCTCTTGTTACCCAGGCTGGAGTGCAATGGCGCGATCTCGGCTCACCGCAACCTCCGCCTCCTGGGTTCAAGCAATTCTCCTGCCTCAGCCTCCTGAGTAGCTGGGATTACAGGCATGCGCCACCATGCCCAGCTAATTTTTTGTATTTTTAGTAGAGACGGGGTTTCACCATGTTGACCAGGATGGTCTCGATCTCTCGATCTCATGATCCACCCGCCTCGACCTCCCAAAGTGCTGGGATTACAGGCTTGAGCCACCGCGCCTGGCATAAAGACCAGTTCTTTAGGTCTCATATTCATGATACTATATATAGAAGCAGTTGGGGAAATTAAAAATTTTTTGACCTCCAGTTATGTGACTCAGGGGCAGTAAGCAATTATAGAAAAGCACATTTGTGTTAGGCCATTCTTGCATTGCTATTTAAAAAATACCTGAGAGTGGATAATTTATAAAGAAAATAGGTTTG